CTTCTCTCCAGTCTGCCTGCACTGACTGTCCTGCACCTGCCGTCAGACTCCGGAGCTCGGAAGTGGATGGACACAGAGGAGGAAGCTCATGCAGCCCAGGTGTGTGCAGCCCACGTGTGTATGTAGCCCAGATGTGTGCAGCCCAGGTGTGTGCTGCCCAGGTGTGTGCAGCCCAGGTGGGGACAGCCCAGGTGTGTGCCGCCCAGGTGGGGACAGCCCAGGTGTGTGCCGCCCAGGTCGGGACAGCCCAGGTGGGGGCAGCCCAGCCGGCAGCACGTGGAGAAGGAGGTCACTGCAGTTCCATTATGCTCACTGTCAGCTTCCAGGTCTCAGGATTTGCACGTGCCCACAGACTGGCCAGCGCAGGCGAGTCTAGGCACCGCCCTATGCTGGGTCTCAGGTCTCAGGTCTTCTGGCCCCAGCACTGCGGTTTAAAAGCATTCTAGAGTCTGAGCATCTTTCACCATATTCATTAAGAAAACCTAGAAAATTCTGTTTTCACACTGTTCTTTGTGTGGCAGAAAAATAAAACGAGTTAGGAGAAAAATCGCATCCGGGAGGGCCCATCCATTTCCAGCCCACAGTCCCCGGTGACAGTGCCCGCCCAGACTCCCGGCCCCTCCCTGTGTCAGCTGCCATGTTTGATAGGTGGTGTCTGGACTTGAATGATGGCGGGTCACCTGATGTAAGCTGTTCCCCCTCATACATGATTAAGTTATATTTCTTCCTGTCTGAATGAGGGTCCTATTGAAATTCAGGAAGGATGCGCAGCAGGGATACGCACGTCAGTACCTGACAGCCTGGAGCCGGCAGGAGAGCATCAGTGTGCGAGGCGGCTGGGGGAGACTCTAGGCCCATCAGAGGGAGCTCTGAGCAGTACGTGCGCAGGCCTGGCTTTCTGTTGACCCGCCGTTCAGGGCCCTCCTTGTGTTTAATTCTCAGTGTGGGATTTGTTTGGACAAAACACGTTGGCACCGGAGGACAGCAGGAAGCCCCACTCCTGGCAGATCTGTGCCGCAGACGCGGTTCACGCGTGAGCAAGACGTGGAACCCATTCCGTCTGCCTGCCAGTCTGCGGTCTCTTGGAAAACAGGGGCTCCTGAGAGTGTGAGGAAACAGGACATCCGCGGAGTTGACATCCAAACATGTCGAGAACGCGCAAAGGCAAAGTCGCAGAGACTTCGGGCACAGAGAGGGAGAGGGCTGTTTCAGGGGTGCGCTAATGTGAGCCCGACCTGGAGGCTGGTCGTGCAAGGCCCGGGCCCCTGACCGCAGGGCCGTTGGTGGAAGTGAGAAGCCAGAGCCCACGAGGAGCTTTTCAAGGCGCTGAATCCGACCCTTTCCTTTGGCAGATGAGCACCCCAGACAAGAAGAAGTATGCAGTTGCCAACTCTATCTCTAAGTGCGCTGGAGAGGGACACCCCAGGACTCTCCCCATGTCCTTTCTGAGCTATCCCCACACACATGACTCCAGAAAAGTGCCCGCAGCTGGGACTGATGCCAGGCACTGGCTGTCCTATGTCTGTCAGCACCGGGTGATGGGGCTGGTCCTCCTCTGGCCTCAGCTCCTCACCTGGGCCACTCCCCTCATCTCATTCCTCTGTCCTGCACCTGACGTCCCCCTTCACTCTGCCCTCAGCTCCTCACCTGGGCCACTCCCCTCATCTCATTCGTCTGTCCTGCACCTGACGTCCCCTTCACCCTGGCCCGCAGCTCCTCACCTGGGCCACTCCCCTCATCTCATTCCTCTGTCCTGCACCTGACGTCCCCCTTCACCCTGGCCCTCAGCTCCTCACCTGGGTCACTCCCCTCATCTCATTCGTCTGTCCTGCACCTGACGTCCCCCTCCTCTGGCCTGACAACCTCGGACCAGCACCAAAGCTGCCCTGATGTCTGTAGGATTTGAACTTGAACCTATTTGCATTTTTCCATGTTTCCCAGTGAAAGGGTCTACCCGAGGGCTGCTGGGTCCGCATGGGCTCAGATTCTTAGCATCAGACGGATTCTAAGAGCAATGGACCCCACATTCCTACAGAGCTTCTGACTGGACCACGTCAGTGACAAGGCACAGGCGTCCCGATGCAGCCCGGACACTGCCCTGGAGATCTCCTCCATCCTCCTACGATGTGTGTCTGGACTTAACGCTGAAAGGGCACCATGATTTCCTCTGAAGGAGACTTGGGGCCTTTCCATGCCTCCCCGTTCCGTCTTATCTCACTGGCTCTGGTCTGTCATTCCAGTGTGCCGTCTGCTGTATGCACTGTCACCACCCCCTGTCCGTCCATCCATCAGCACCGTGCAACCCAGCCCCAAGGACAGAAATCTGTGTGATCAGACACATGGAAACTCACCACACAGAGCGACACCGTCATACAGTGTCTGCAGCATTTCTAGGGTATGGAACGTTGATCACTAATGAGAAGAAAGAAAGCCCGACTGGCCTTTATTCCCCAGCGTCTACGCCACACGGGCATCACGCATCCAACACACAAGGCCTCTCCCAGACCTCACTTTCCCACGTGTGTTGGTCAGACCGTGGGCAGGGAAAGTGGTCGTCTCTCCGGACGGCCTGCTACACACACGTCACAAGGAGACGTCCAGTGAGCCTGGCGTCGGGCAGTCGCAGGCCTCGCCGGTACTGCTGGAGCACAAACGCTCTTTAGGGCCTGCATCTGAATCCACTTATGTGACCACACACCTTCACGTCCAGTGATGTACAGACGTCTATCTCAGCAGGTACTGGGCAACACTAAGGAGATGCCGTTGACTCTGACAGAGATTTAAGTGAGGGTGGGAGAGGAGGAACAGGTCAGAGGTCAAGGCCAGTGTCCTGTTGCCTTTTTCTCTTTCTGTGTCCTCCTTTTGTCACTCCAGTCCTGAGCTCACCGGCCAGACTTGCCAGAACCACCCCCCTGCACAGAAGAGGGTGCAGCAGCCTCGCTCTTCTCCATGTCAGTGGGGAGAGTTTGCTCACAGTCCGTCCCCCGCGGGGCCTCTCTTCTAACAGGACTCACGGACAAGGTTCTAGGTTGACATGCTCGTTCCCGCACTCTGCATTCAGGCTGTCTATCATTTCACTCGCGTGAGATCTCCCATCGGTGGGCAGTTGACTGTGTGAGTCAGCTTGATGGGGTCACAGGGAGCCCAGGTGTCTGCTCAAACATTGCACTGGGTGTGTCTGGGAGGCTGTGTTTACATGATAGTGACAACTGAATTGGTTAAGTGAGAAGAGCAGATTGCCCACTGATGTGGGTGGGCCTGGTCCAATCAGTTGAGGGACTGAGCAGACCCAAAGGCCGACCCTCCTGTGAGTAAAAGGGCCTCCTCCAGCCTGACTGGCTTTGAGCTGAGAGAGTGGGTTTCTCCTGCCCTCAATCTTGAACTGGAATGTGGCTCCTCTTGGGTCAGCCTGCCAGCCTTGGGGCAGGACCTCCCCCATCAGCCCTCTCGGGTCTCCCGCTTGCCGCATGTAGATCATGAGAAGTGTGCCCTCCGCAGGCACATGAGCACCGTCCTTATGGCAGATACCCCCCGCCCACCCTGTCGGCTCTCTGTCTGCAGTGCTGACCTGCACGCGTGGTGACTCTGCCTACGCAGCTCCAGACTTGCACCCACCAGATGCGATCTGTGCCCGCCTCCTGGAGACCCAGGTAGCATCACCCTAATGGCTTAAGGACACACACTGCTCATGTTTCTTGGTCCCATATCTTTGAGGACCACCAGCTGCCTCAGCCTGGCTCTACTCTGTATGCTGAGGACGTCCTGTGTTAGCCACACTCCTGGCCACCTCTGGCCTTGCCCCTCCTGCCGGGTCCACCTGGGTCTCTGCCCTTCACTCATGCACCCTCCTTTGAGTTGGCGCTCAGCTGACCAGGATGAGCAAGCACAGCTGTGGACGTATGGAAGGAAGGCGTCCCCTGGAACCCCCTCTCCCTCTGTTCTCTTCACCAGCAGCCAAGGTGAGCCCGGGCGGCGCAGTGAGCTCTCAGCGGTGGTGATGCAGTTGGTCTCGGGTCAATGACGGAGTCTGCGGGCAGGTGTCTGATCGCCGACTCGGGTAAGCCTTTCACCCCACTTCCCTGACCCTCCAGTCCAATGTACAAGTTTCATCTTTACACAGTGTAGGTTTTTATTTCATTCCTTCAGGCATTTAAAATACCGAGCACAGCCTGGAGCATCTCCCCAAGGCTGGGCTGCAGTCTGTGTAACATGAATGCGTTTCTCCGAGCGGGCGCAGCCTTATATTCAGCGCGGTGGGCGGAGCCTACAGCCACTTGTGCTCGTGTGAGCACCGGGGTACAAGGGGACATGCTCCTTTGAAACCTCAGCATGGACCCTTCATGGGAGAAAAGTCGGGGATCTTAGACAACCCCGGCGGCACCCAACGGGAGCAGACGCCCGCACTGCTATGTGCTCCCACACACGACAGGAAATACAACCACAACACGCAGAAAGCTGAAAGGACACAACTAAAGAAAAAAGGGGCCGCATTCTCTGTCTTTGATCCCAAATAAAATCCATGGAGTTTATTAAAATAGGCCTCAGACAACCTTCATTCCGAAGACGATGCGCGGCCACGGGTGTGCCCTGCCGTCTGGCACTGTGAGCACTTCTAGGGGAGAAATGAAATGTGTCTACTGAGGTGCTGAGCCAGAAGCAAAGTCAGCCTGTGGACAAAACATGCACCGCTGATGACACCGCGGAGGCCGTCTGCGGCGAGGACGGCGTGTTACTGTGTCTGCTGTGACTCGAGTGCTGGCGCCCACCTTGAGGTGCCCCATGAAACTGAGCTGCTACATTCAGCACTGCCTTTTAAACACATCTGCTTTCCTTGATGGAAGGCCGCCAGAGAGCTGCATACCTGGGACCCGTGGTCTGCTTTCTCTCTAGCAGGGACAGTACAGACCAACTATTGTTGTGAGAGAGCTGGGAACAGAAACAAAAGGAAACACACTCGGAAATTCTAATGTTGCCGTAAAAAGCATAAAGAGAATACGTACCGGGTTCAGGAGGATCGTGAGGAAAAGCTCGCCCCCTCGGATGCTCTTGTCCAGCTCCTGGGGTCCTCCGGGATACTCTTTGTAGAAGATGGTGTGGGTGAACAGCCCGCAGGTCTGCCGAGGGAGCACCTGAGGACGGGAAACGGGCGCCATGACTGTCTAACCAGACAGACTGCTCGGGACCGTCTGCCGGCCGCACGTCCACCCAGCCGCCCTGGAGGCTGAAGCCCAGATCTCACGCTGACCGACAGCTGATGATGGTGTGACTGTGTTAGTGTTGAGGGAGTTGTCATTTCAAAGCTAAAGGTGTGTGTTACGTGCCCTTCGGTCGGCTCCAACTCAGGGGACCCTGTGAACGGGTGACGTCCAGTGTCCTGTCCTCACAGCCCTGCCCAGCCCTGCCCAGCCCTGGAGGCTCAGCCTGTGGCTTCTTCCACAGAGTCCACCCATCTCGTGTTCGGTCTCCCCTTTCCCTGCTGCCTCCTACATCCCTGCACGACTGTCCTTCCCAAAGGACCTGCTTCTCAGGAGGTGTCCGAGGAGGACAGCTTCCGTCTGTCCTTCTGTCCCCGCGATGTTTCAGGGTTACTTTGCTCTGAGAGCCACCTGCCTGTCTTTCTGGCATGTCCGTGTTAAAGCATTTTCAGTCACTTCTGTGAATCTCACCACCAGCGGAGTGGTGTTTAAGGACTGGCAAAGAATAGAGGCCTTCGGAGGGTTAATTCAATTCAAACCTGGAGGTTCTCCGAGGCGACACCCTCCTTGCCTCTGAGTAACGTTGGACAAGGGGTTGTCAGTTACCATCTGGCTCTGGGGTTGTCAGTTCTCATCATGCCCCCCCCCCCCCCCCGTTGTGTTCCTATAAGCTCTGAATGAAGACGTTAACCACAGACGTCGCGCGTGATCTAACAATGGCTCCTGGCACATTCTGTCATAAATCTGAATGTTCAACAGAGAAAGCAAAGAAGTAACTTTATTCCCAGAACTTACTCTGAATAATCGACGACTCATAATCTAATGGAAAAATGCATCCAATTTATACCCCGTGGCTATAATTTTATTTAGTCTTTGCTTAATTTTCATAATAGTTTGTATGAAATTCGAGGTAAATGAACGCATGTAACATTGGTTAGAAGGGATGCTTGTGTTTCATGACAGGTCACACGGCCATTGGAACTGCAGAGTGAGACTGTCTACGCCCCCGGAGCTGTGTCCCCCATCCCCACGAGCGTGGTCACTGCCCCCTTTAAACTGGAGGCTCCTGGTCCCAACTCACAAGGAAACGTTCATGTTTCACGATGAATAGATAGTGAGGGGTTTTCCTTTTCTTTGGTTTTCGATGGTGAAGTGACAGACAGACGGACTGAACAGGTGGATCATTCGAACAGGAACTGGAACAGTGGGTGGGTTAACCTGGTGACCGACCTGGAGAACATGGCCCGAGGTGCTGGACGCGGGCGGGGCACTTTAAGAAGCGCTATCTTATCTCAAAGTAAAGAATGCTATGTTTTCTCATTCTAACAATTAGTTATGTAAATTTCCATCTAACATCCCTTTGGTTTTATTCTCATATAAAGAAACTGATGCATCATTTTCACATCAGATTATTATGTTTTCAAGTAACCTACAAAGAAAATGTCTGCCTTCGCTTTTGTATACACGGGAAAGACAGATGCAAAAGAAGGTTGTCCTGAGCCAAAATACACGGGCCGGGGGCTCAGCCCTCAGAGGTGCATGGTGGGTGCTGCCTGTTGATAGAGGAGAGACTTGTGGGGTGTTTCTCCACCTGTGAGCCCACTCTCTGCATGAAAACTCTCAATAAAGAAAACTCTCAAAAAACACCCAAAAAGACTCAGAGAAGTTCCCAGAAGTGTAAGGGCCTTGGGTGAAACTTCAATCCCCAAACTGCAGGGAATCGTCCATGTGAAACCCATTTCCACCAGTCTGAGTTCGGGGTGTACTTGCTAAAACCACCCCCAGCGTAAGAAGTAAGAGTGAGGACATGTGGTGCCCTGGTCCCTGCCCCCCAGCAGGAGTGCGGGAGGACACTGTGCCCTGGTCCCTCCCCCACAGCAGGAGTGCGGGAGGACACTGTGCCCTGGTCCCTGCCCCCCAGCAGGAGTGCGGGAGGACACAGTGCCCTGGTCCCTCCCCCCAGCAGGAGTGCGGGAGGACACTGTGCCCTGGTCCCTCCCCCACAGCAGGAGTGCGGGAGGACACTGTGCCCTGGTCCCTCCCCCCAGCAGGAGTGCGGGAGGACATGGTGCCCTGGTCCCTCCCCCCAGCAGGAGTGCGGGAGGACACTGTGCCCTGGTCCCTGCCCCCCAGCAGGAGTGCGGGAGGACACGGTGCCCTGGTCCCTGCTCCCCAGCTCACCATGATGCCGTCGTGGATGAAGCCCCGCCGGTGCCGTGCGGGTTTCAGGTGCGGGTACTCCTCCGTGCTGGTGACCTGGATTCCCCAGACCTTCTTCCAGGCCGCGTACAGCTGCATGTGCACCGGGTACACGCCCGAGTGGTGGGGGGCCACCGCGTAGCCCATGTCCGTGGGGATGCCGTGCTCCTGGGAGGAAGACAGACAGCACGCTGGGGCGGTCAGTGGGACTCGGCTGCAGTGTGGCCAGAGCCTCCTTTAGGACATGCTGGATCCTACGTCACTGTGAGAAGCAGCAAAACAAGTCCGGCCAGTGTGGCTCAGTCACTGGGCATTGACCCTGCACCAAGAGGTCGCCGGTTTGATTTCCGGTCAGGGCACATGCCCAGGTTGTGGGCCTGATCCCCAGCAGGGGGCGTGCAGGAGGCGGCCAGTCGATGTTCTCGCTCATCCATGTTTCTATCTCTCTCTCCCTCTCCCTTCCTCTCTCTCTAAAATCAATAAAGAAGCCCTGGCCGGTTTGGCTCAGCGGTTGGAGCGTCAGCCTGCGGTCCTGAGAGACCCAGGTTCGGTTCCCGCTAAGGGCATGTACCTTGGTTGCAGTTTGTCCCCGGCCCTGGTTGGTCGTGCGGGTGGCAGCCACTCGATGTGTCCCTTTCACATCGATGTTTCTCTCTCTCTCTCTTCCTCTCTCTCCCTCCCACTCTGTCTGTACAAAAAATGGAAAGAGTGTCCTCGGGTGAGGATTAAAAAAAAAGAAAAAAAAAGTGGAAAAAAAAGATTTAGCAAAACCAGGAGCTTTCTCTCTCAGCAGCCCGGATCACGAAGCTCTGGTGTGACAGACACAGCGACACTCTGGGGCGTGGTGGTGAGTGAGTCTGGATTCTGAACACAGAGTTTGGGGACGACAGAAATCAAACACGGCCCTCCCTCAGCTGGACATGGAGAAACGCACGAGTGCCCAGTGCGAGAGATGGAGAAGCACAGTGTGTGTGTGTCATGCACATGTGTGTGGTGTGTGTGATGGTGTATGATTATATGAGTATGAGAGTGTGCATGTATATGTGTGTGATGTGCATGTGTGTGTGGTGTATGTTGACTGTATGAGTGTGTGTGTGAGTTTGCATGTATGTGTATGTGAGTGTGTGTGTATGTGTGTTTGCTGTGTGTGGTTGTATGAGTGTGTGAGTGTGCATGTGTGTGTGCTGTGTGGTTGTATGAGTGTGTGTGTATATGTGTTTGGTGTGTGGTTGTATGAGTGTGTGAGTGTGCATGTGTGTGTGTGTATATGTATGTGAGTGTGCATATATATGTGTGTGTGCTGTGTGGTTGTATGAGTGTGTGACTGTATGGCTGTGTGTGTGCCTGTGTGTGTGTGAGTGTGTCTGTGATAGTGACAAGCAGAAAGGTGAGTGTGATCCGTGCGGTGACGCGCTTTCTCTGCTAACCTGGGGACAGAGCTGACTCTGCCTGAGCGGTGTGGCCAGGATGCTCCCTGAGCCCGCAGGGCCAGGCCTCCCCGCTTGGGGAGAAGGAGACAGTGCAGGTGCAGGACGCAGCAGTGAGGGGCTGTGTGTCGGGCGGCCGTGGGGAGGGGAGAGGGCCCGGGCGCCGCACTGGCTGGGGTGTGGGCTCCCGCCAGGGATGAGGCCGCACGAGGCAGTGGTGCTGAGACGCAGAGCGAAGGGGCCTAGGCTTCCCCTGGGCTGGGACCCCCAGGGCTCACTGCGTTCTTACGAAGCCCCTGCTTCCCAGGGCAGGCTTGCTTCGGGTGGGCAGTCAGCTCCGAAGGTAACTGCACATGTAAGGCGAGAACATGACAACGTTGCCAGAGCACGGTTTCCTACGGCGAGGTTGATGCCTGAGACCTGCGTCCTCCAAGTCTGTGTCTGTATTTCTGCCCTAAAGGCTCCTCTGCTTCGGAAGCTCTCGCAGGCCCGAATCCCATCCGCTGACATCCGAGCAACCACAGTCTGTGTGAAAGACACCTTAGCAGCACGGAGCTGCCGGCCACACCTCCTCGTACCAGGCGGAGCCTGGCACAGGAGCGGGCAGTGAGGGGATCAGGACACAGGCCCGGACTCAGCCCACACGCAGCTGGACGACGGCCCTCCCCTCCTGCAGGCCGTCACCTCCCCCTCGGGGACGGTGCTCTCTGCACAGCCACGCGCCTCCCCTCCCCGAGACGATGCGTTTTCTAGCACCCGCACGAGCAGGGACTCTGGAGAGGAGAGAGCCTGGATCGCGAAGTCACTGCTGTGAAATGAGGCGGAGTCTCTAAGAGGTGCCCGGGAAAAGGCCACATTGGCCTGAGCCTGGCGCCCACACTTCCTCCAGGGGCTGTGTTTTCCAGAAGAGGGGAGGTTACAAAGTCCAGGAACAAAGCCCCTGGAAGCTACAGGGTGGGGCCAGGCCGCTCTGTCCCTGACGCATCCCCGGCCATGACGCCCAGTGAACTGTCACAAAGGGGACGCATGTCCTCAGGGAGCCAACGTGCGATGCTCGGGGGTGCGGCAGATGAACCTCCTCGCGAGGGGCACTGGGTGTGAGGTGCCGGAGCCCACTGTAGGGGTGGAGCCGAGCGTGGGCGGTTCAGTGACCTGGGTGTACAGGGAAGGGCAGAGCGAGGTGTCAGACCCAGGGCCCCCCAGGGGCCCCCCCGAGGTTTGCAGCAGCCGTGTTCAGTGACGGAAAGATCACAGCCGCAGCGGTGTGGGCCTCGCCGAGCCCGTGCCCGCTCCTACCACTGTGGCTTGGACACAGGTGAGCAGGCGGCACCCTGGAAACGGAGAGGTGGGACTGAGACCACAGGAGAATTGAAACGTCCAACAGCTGTCTCCTCGGGGAGGAAATGTCATTTCCGGTGTGACAGGGAGTGAAATGAATTGCAGAACTTCCACGAAAAACCAGAAGGTACACAGCGATCGATGTGGTGAGGGGGAGGCGGGGCAGTAAACGGGTTTAGTGCGTCTATTGATTTCTGGGGGCTCAGTGTGGTCCAGCCGGTCAGGTCATCTCATCACCCTGACAACCGGAGCTCGGTCCACCAGTGCGTCGCCCTGGACAGTGACCAGTTTATACTTTCCCATCTGAACGATAACACAAAATGAACAGTGATTCCCTGGAAACTCCTCTTCTGCTGCTGAGGGCAGAGACTTCATGCCTCACGTCCAGAGCTTCAGCGCCGCAGGGGACCGGCCAAACATCACACGCGGGTCACCGCATCCCAGGCGCGAAAGGCTAATGCAAATGTGGGCGGCGTCTGAAGCTACACACACAGACGTGTGAATGAGAATAGGCTAATCCAGGTAGGGCTTTTATTACTTGTCAAAATGTCTCTCACAGGAGCCAGGGATTTCTGTGACAAGATGGCACCGCGAATATTTACAGGGGAGTTCGACTCGATCTGCTTTTCCCCGTTATAGCCATTCCCAGTCGACTGGAAAATGAGGGAATGTGGTAATTACAGACTATAGAAAAATAGGGTCACCATTTTTCAAAAACTATAAAATACAATAAAATATAATTAGCACTCAATCTCTGATTGTCACCAACCTGATCTCATATCATTTTTCTTCGATCATCTCTGCTCACAATGCTCAGCACCCTGTCCTCGGGAAGTGTTTACATTCACGTTGAAGGTGGTCCTCATGCTTACCTGTGGGTGGCCCGGATGTCCCCGTCAGTGTGGAAACTGAGGCTCAGGGCGGGGAAGGGAGTGGCCACGCTCACAGGAGTCAGAGCCGAAATTCCACCCATGGTCTCCTCCAGGCTCAAAGACTGTCCTCCAGCTTTTATAACAACTCGCCACCACTGTCACCTGAGTCCACAGCCACGGCCCAGTCCACAGCCACGGCCATGGCCCACGTTTGTGACCAAACGGAACTGACTGCAATGCATGTTTCCGATGGGAAACAGAGAGTGTGCCTGTCCTCTCTATTGGAGGGGTGGTAAAGCAAAGCCCTGTGTTTCCCAGGCTGCTCTGCGGCGACCACGTTTGGTGCCAACGAGGGTCGGCCCCCGAGGAGGACGCGGACGATTTGCAGGGCAGGAGATGGGCAGGAGCGATGTCTGTGAGCTCTGGGCCTGTGCTGGCAGGCGAGGTCCGGAGAACAGGAGTGTTTTCGGAAGCGGACGCGGTGCCGGTATACAGGGCGAAGGGGAAGCTTCCTGTTCCTGCCCGAGCCACCCGGGGACCCCTCCGTCTGCTCTGCGCCCCCGGGGAGCCCACCGAGAATCCCTCCGTCTGCCCTCCCAGGGCTGTGGAAGCACCAGGATCACCAGTGACTCTCTCTCCGTGGAAAAGGACCTGCCGGCGCCGGCTCCAGCTCCGAACCTGGCTGATAGGCTGATGTCTGCCCTGTTCTAACACACAGGAGAGGGTTAGGGGTTCAGTGCGATGTCAGCGGGTTGAAGTCTGCCCCATATTTCTCCAGCGAAACGCACCAAGACAGGCAAACACCTGCTGGTCTCGCTGGACACTAGCATGTTCCATGGGTGACTGTTTATTTTTTAAAAAAATATATATATATACACACACACACATATACATATATATATATATTTAATTGATATTTTTTCAGAGACAGGAAGGGAGAGAGAGATAGAAACATTGATGTGAGAGAGAAACACCAATCGGCTGCCTCCTGCACGCTCCCTACTGGGGACTGAGCCCACGACCCAGGCACGTGCCCTGACTGGGAACTGAACTGGGACCTCTCAGTCCCTGGGACACGCTCCATCCACTGAGTCACACCGGCCAGGCAACAATTTTGGTGTCTAATAGATATTTTTTGAAGGAAACAATATGTAAACATGCTATGAAATGAATCCATCATAGATGTTTAATAAGTGGCCGAGAAGGAGAGTAGGTGGAGTCACGGTCCCGCAGATGAAGGCACATGCAGTGAAGAGATGACACGTGAACGGGACCCTGTGGAGCCTGATGTATCGACTGTGGAGCCTGATGTAGCAATGTGTCCGCCCGGATACACGACTGGTAGGGGCTGGTGCCAAAGGAAGGAGGCCTCGTTATCCGCTTTTCCATTTAATAAGGACTCGGAGTCGCACCCTCGGCTTTGAGAAGGATCCTGGGACCATTGATTTTCTGGGAACTGAAATTGTCTTCTGTTTTCATAAGTGATAAAATCGTGACGGTGACCCTGGAGATTGGCGGGGCGGTCCTGGCG